CATAGTCGCCATCCTCAATTCTTCCTTAAGTGTGGTAAAGTTGCTCGACGGAGGAAGAAAGAGAGGGGAGAATGTGCCACCCTGCTTCGGGGGATACAGGCCCGGAATTGTTGAAAGAAGATACCTTTATTTATGTGGTTATTATAAATGTCGGAAAGTAAGAAATATGCTATAGTGCTGCTTTTTTTTACACTGGCCTTGGTGGAAGGATACGGCCAGGTGTTTAAAAAAATATTATGGTTCTATTTTAATCCTTTTCACAAAAGCCAGTCACAATAGATGCAGGTATGCTTATTCATATGCGACTTAAGATGAAAATAAATTAAACTAAGAATAACTGGGATTTACTAACCATTCAGGGTCAAGTTCACACTTGATGTTCTGGCATGAAGTTTGCACACAAAGAATATGTGGACAGTGAGTTAACACTCATCTCCTTTTCTACTAAGTTGCACACACCATGAAATGACAGATGTTTCCAAGGGTTTGGATACGAAATTTAAAACTTTCCATGTGACAAGCAGCTAAGGTGATTCACAGTTTTCTTCTGCACAACACCTGGTGGAGGAACTTATCTAAGTTTTTGAAAGTATTAACAGGGCGAATCAGAAATTGATGGTTATTAAAGACATACAGCAAGTAAATTTTAATATAGAATTTCCCATCCAAAGAAAGTCCCTTTGAAGGAAAGTATAGTTGGCTAAAGAAAAAATAGCCAGAGGAAGCAGTTGACAGATGAACAGAAAAAAAAGAATAATATTTTTAGTACAGGTTCAGTATTCTTATTCTGAGATTGTCTTGGAGCGGAAGAGTAGTGAAGCAATGAAAAGAGAGCAAATGGGGGAGAGTGGGTGAGATGTTATCAAAAAATTTTGTTGAAAATAAGAAAATTTTTGGGGTTGAGTTAACAATTTAAAGGGAACCTAGGAACAAATGGTTTTTGTCAGTTAAAAATAGGGAGGAGAGTTTTAAAATGGAGAGTTAGGGTTTGGGGAAGAGGGAGGGATATTTTGAGGAATTTTTAAAATTTGTGAAGATGGGGAAGCTGTGATTTCGTGTATAGGGAAAGGAGGAAAACATCTTGTAGGAGTGAGGAAGACCCAGTTTGAGTGTGGGTAAAGTTCTAGGCAGTGGGTAAATAAAAGGGGGGTAAGGCAGCTGGGTTGATGGGAAAAAGTAGAAATGTTTAAAACAGGTGGGGATATAGTTTTGGAGTGGTTGGTGCAATTTTTAATAAATGTAGGAAGAGGGAAAGGGTTACTAGGGTTTGGCAGAGAATGCATAGTTCCTTTGTATAAAGGAAAAGGGGACAAAAGAGAGTGCAAAAATTTTTAGGGGATAAGTCTTTTGAGTATACCTGGTAAAGTGTATGGTGAGTTATTATTGAAAGAATTAAGAGAAAAGACAGAGAATAGGATAGCAGATGAAAAGGGGCTTTAGGAAAGGTAGGGGGGGTGGGACGGGGGGTTTTACGTGAAAAAAAAAAAGTGACCAGTTTTAAAAAGGCTAAAGAGGTTTTGTGGCTTTAGGGTTTGGGAAAAAAGGCTAGACAGGGTGGATAGGGGGGCAATGTGGAGATGTTGAGGGTATGGTGTAGGAGGTGGTTACGGGAAAGCAGGGGGAGAGTTTTTCGAGGTAGTGAAGTCAAGTTAGGTATGTGGGAAAGGGGAAATTTTTTCCCCAGTAAAAGTGGGCCCTTAGACAGGGATGTGTGTGTCACGTGGTTGTTTAATTATTTAGGGAGGGGGTTTTAAAGGAAAAAGTAAATGCGAGGGTCTTGGCAAGAGGGTGGAGTTAAAAGATAAAGAATCACACATAAAGTGGGAGTTGTCACAGTTGCTCTTTGCGATACACTGTGCTTTGGGAGATTCTAAAGAAAAATTTTAGAGTTTGGTGGTGAATTTGGTGGGGTGTGAAAAAGAAGAAAAAAAAAGTGAAATACAGGAAAGAGAAAGGTTTGAGGATAACAAAAAATTATTAGGTGATGAAAGTTGGATATCGATTGGAGGGAGAGAGTTTTTAGGAGGTGAATGTATTGATATTTGGGGAGTGGGTGTCAGCGGAGGGGTTTTATGAAGGATGGGGTGGAATCATAAAATTTGATGGGGGGGAAAAGGGTGATGGTGCACTTAGGAGTCTGTGGAGAAAAAAGAACTTTTCCTTGGAGGCAAAGAGGGGGAATGTATGAGAGTACAGTTTTTCCAACGTCTTATTGGGTGTGAAGCAGGGTGATGAATGTTTCAGCGAGGAGAAAGGTGGAGGCAGTGGGATGTAGTTGAGGGGAAAAAGTGGGTGTGAATATAATGCAGAGATTCTAGTTTGGAATTAGGAGGTGCGGGATTACCAAACTTTGTCCGAGGGTGAGAAAGGGTTTTGAGGTGGTTTGGACATGTAGAGAGAAAAGGAGCGAGACAGGGAATGACTTCAAGAATGTATGTCTGTAGTGGAAGGAAGGGGGGGGGTAGGGGTCGGGCCCAGGAAAGGTTGGAGGGGGGGGTAAAGGAGGTAAAGGGGGTTGGACTTTCCCCAGGCGTGCGTGAGCGTGTTTTAAAAGGAGGAATGAGACGAAAGGTTTTTAATACTTGAGTGCTGTTGGAGTTGAGCAAAGTAAAATTTTTTGAAGGGTTCAGGGAAACCAGCAGGCGGGTTTAGTCCCGGAGATGGGAAAATACAGTGCCGCACTCTGAAGGAGGGGTGTTAATGTTGCAGTTTAAAAAAAAATGTGTGTAGAGCACCCCTTTTGGGAAGAAGTGATGGAGTGAATGATGGGGAAAAATTTTTTCTTTTTCGGGGGCCCCCTGCCTTGGTGGGGAAACGGGCCCGTGTGTTTAATAAAAAAAAAAAAAAAAAAAAAAAAAATAATTCTTTTTGGGATAAACGCCTTTGAGCAGATGTATAGTGTCAGAAATGTCATATTGATAGCCTCTTCGTTACCCCAGTCAAAAAATGAAAGTGTTCTCTGCCCCTGTAATTGCTAAGCGAAAATTGGATGTTTCTGAGTTTTCGTACTATGTATTCCCTTCAATGCTAAATGTAATTGATTTGTGGTCGCTAGCACCCAGTTCCTCTAAAATTTCTAATATTTTAACAAGGGATTCATTTGTTTGCCATAACTAAGTCAAGCAGGTTATTTCCCCTTGTAGGTTCTGTCTCAAACTGCTTAAAAAAAAACAATCCTGAAATACTTCTAAGAAGGTCGTATGATTTCAAAATTTTCCCAGTCAAGAAATTCCAATCAACATGACTAAAGTTAAAGTCTCCTAGAATTACTACATTATCGTGCCTTGTGGCCTTACAATTTCCTCCCATAGTAGTTTCCCTTGGTCCTATCTAAGTTTGGGGGACGGTATATCACTCCTAAAATCATTTTTTTCATGCCCTCTGAAAATTTCTATCCAAACAGACTCTGTATGTGTTACTTCAGACTTAATACCCGTTTTTATGCAACAGTTAAAAGCGATCTCGGACTTTAAAATGCCACCCCACCCCCCTTCCCAATACTTCTATCTTCTTGGAACAATTTAAAACCTTGAATATGCATTCCGCAGGCATGTCCCGACTTTTTGAATTAAACCACGTCTCTTTTAAAGGCAAATACACAATGTTACCTGCACTAGCAACTAATCTCAACTCGTCCATCTTATTCCCTAGTACTATGGCAATTAGCATAAAAAAACATTGAAAGACTCCCCTTTTTCTTTACCCTTCCTGCTCATTTCTATTTTTCTATAAACCTATTACTGTCCTTATCACCCAAGGCCCTGGCTTTTCAATTCTACCTCTTTTCTTATTATTCCCTAGTTCCCCTAGAACTCGTAATATTATACACTGGGACTTCACTGTTTTCCTCCCAAAAACCCCATACCACTAACTACTCCTAGTTTAAAGTCCTAACTGCTCCCTCCACTGCAGTTGCCAGCGCTCCCACCCACACCTAGATAAGTAAACCCCCATCCCAGGCATTACATGTCATTCTGCCATAGAAGAGGTCCCAGTTGTCAATGAATGTTACCGCATTTTTCCTTACAGTATTTGTCCAGCCAGCAATTGACACCAATTGCCCTGGACAACCATTCATTTCCAACTCCCCTCCTTGGCAAAATACCACATATGAGAGGATTCCCACCCTTACTCCCAAATTTTTTCTATTGCTGACCTATACCTGCTAATCAGGTCTTCACTCCTACGTCTGCCAACATCGTTGCCTCCAGCACTGAGACAGATAATAGGATTACTCCCATTACCTCTCATGATGTCATCCAGACGACTAACAATATCCTCCATCCCAGCCCAGGAAAGCAAACTCTCTGTCTCCTACTCCTGTCCTTCAAGCAGAACGCCCCCATCCATATACCTTACTTGGCTATCCCCAACAAAAAACAAAATTGTACCTTCCTTGGTTCGTTCGTCGTGACCCTTCCCAGTAAATCGACTCACATTCGTCGGGTAGCACTGAGAATGTATTAGATGTTTCCACAACAGTTTCCACGGCAGTCTCTTTCTTCTTCATCGTTTCTACCTTTCCATTCGTCTTCTTGATCGTCAACTTCTTTCCCTGCTGTCCAGCCACTGACCAGTTTCCCTTCTTGACCTGAGGACTCAAAACAGGAGGACTACTACGAATCTTTTTGTTTTCCTTGGTCAGTCGCCGAATTTCCATATTCGCCATCCTCAATTCTTCCTTAAGCTGTTGGTAAAGTTGCTCGACGGAGGAAGAGAGGGGAGAATGTGCCACCCTGCTTCGGTGGGATACAGCCGGATTGTTGAAAGAAGAATACCTATATTTATGTGGTTATTACTAAATGTGAAAGTAAGAAAAATGCTATAGTGCTGCTTCTTTTTACACTGGCCTTGGTGGGATACGGCCAGTGTGTTAAAAAAATATATGGTTCTATTTTAATTCCTTTTCACAAAGCCAGTCACAAATAGATGCAGGTATGCTTATTCACTCTGCGACTAAAGATGAAATAAATTAAACAAGAATAATGGGATTTACTAACCATTCAGGGTCAAGTTCACCCTTGATGTATGGCATGAAGTTTGCCACACAAAGATATGTGACAGTGAGTTTAACCTCATCTCCTTCTTCTACATAGGTGCCACACCAAGAAATGACAGATGTTTCCAAGGGTTTGGATACAGAAACATTAAACATTCCATGGACCAAGCAGCTAAGGTGATTCACAGTTTTTTTCTGCACAACACCTGGTGGAGGAACTTAATCTAAGTTTATTGAAAGTATTACAGGAATCAGAAATGGTTATTAAAGACATACAGCAAGTAAATTTTAATATAGAATTACCCATCCAAAGAAGTCACCTTTGAAGGAAAAGTATAGTTGGCTAAAGAAAAAATAGCCAGAGGAAGCAGTATCTCTTATCCGAGATGCTTGGAGCCGGAAGTGTCTTGGAATATAATGAGATAGCCTGGGGATGGTACCAAAGTCTAAACACAAAATCAATTTATATTTCATATATAGCTTATACACATAGCCTGAAGGCAGTCAGATACAATATTTGAAAAAAAAAAAAAAAAAAAAAAAAAAAAAGAAGCATAGCAGCATCAGCAAATACCTGCATCAGTTGTTATACAACAAACAATAGCAGGCTTTCAGTCTTCACCTACGATGCCATGTTTTTATTAAAACGCCAGTGTATCTTGATTTTTCTTATCACTGTTACCCACTGGGGTATCTGTAGGCCTTTTTGGCATTTTCTACAATGTCTTCACACTACAGAGCAGAGAATAAGCACAAGACACACTGTAATTACAGTAAGGCATGTAGATCTGGTGGTGATGACCACTGATAAAAAAAACTGGCACCAACAGATTACTGGAGCTCCACCCAGGGTGTGCAAGGTCACATGCTACATCTGTCTGGGCGTGCAGAGACATGTAATTCATGGGAATCTCCCCAGAACCGACTGGAACTTTCCATTTGTGGTGTCATGTCAGTGGTCGAAAAAAGTTTCGGAGTTTGGAGCTTTTCAAATTTCAGGATTTCAGATAAGGGATATTCAACCTGCAAGAAAGTACTGTAGCAGCAGTAATGTTTCTTACAAAAAATACAGTGCATAGCTAAGAATGTAGATAAATGGTTCAGAGAACTAACAAGATGATAAATACACACATTTTGCAACACTTGGGTATCTTTATTGTGAAATCATTTTGCCACACAGTGGTTTCACCAATCCTATACAAAGAACAATGGTGAAGATCAAGAGTTTGAGGTAATCAGTCCCTCAGATTGGAGTTGATGTAATCAGTCCATCAATCTTGAAAATAAAAGAGCATATGCACAAAGAAGTGGCTTATATACTGTTGAGAGGTGAGGTGAAGCAGTCGTAGGCAATATCACATTGGACAAATCCACATATGGAGGTATGTCATGCCTATAGGTTAGGCAAGTGAAGAATTCCCTGTATCAAGATCCAAAGATGTTGTTGTGTCTGACAGGAATGTAGCATTCCTGTCAGACACAGCAACATTTTCTAATCTTCACCATTCTTCTTTGTATATGACTGATGAAGCCACTGTGTGGCAAAACGTTTCTTCAATAACATTGCCCAAGTGTCTCACGTGTATCTATTTATCATAGCCAAGAGTATAAAAAAAGAACAAAATGGCATTTTTTGGCAAGTCTAAAAGCTGATGAGCAAAGTTATGAATTACATAACTGTAATTTATTATGATTGGTAAGTACATGCACATGAATGTAATAAAGGTAATTTACATGAAGGGACTGTACATAAATTTGTATTATGGAAAATCTGTAACAAATCATAAATTTACACTAGCAGCAGATATGCACCTAAATTAAGAAAAATTAAGGCTTGAATTACATTTGCATTTTAAAATAGGTAGTAAATGGTACCAGTTCATGATCTTAGCAAGTGACATTTATGCTGCAAAAAATGAACTACAGTGGTACTTCAGTATACATCCGCTTTGGAATAAGTCCAACTTGGTATAAGTCCTGTGAAAATTTTTCCTTGGTATACGACCTTAGTTTGGAATACGACTTGCGTGCTAGAACTTGCATGGGTCAAAATGAGTCACGATACCGCGCACTACCCTTGTACTTATTTGTGGGAAGTCAGGTGTAGGCAGCCCTGGCTCCCCATCCCAAACTTAATTACTAATATACAATATTTAAAGCAGCCCAGAGAGATAAAATACATATACAGTATACTCATTATTTACCTTAAAATACATGTAGTTTTAATGTAGGATGAGAGGTGAGTAGTATTTATTTGTAGGAAGTCAGGTGTTGGTAGCCAGCAGATGTAGGTAGCTGGTAGGTAGCCTGGGCCACATAGCTATACGATATTATTAACATCGACATACCATGTTCACTGAGTTTAATAATTTCTAAGAACCACCTTTAGATGCTATCATACATGAAGGGAGAAGTAATGAATAATTCATGCCGAGAATTGCAAACAAAAGCGGAGTGACTAGGCCAAACACAGATTTACACACATTTTCTTTGGTGCTGGACCAGAGAAAACATAATGTTTTCCCTCCGCCCAGCATTTAAACATAGCATGTTTATATGCTGTATATCGTTTTTCTTGTATAATTCTAAAGAAAATATCATAGATGGATTAATGAAAATGTCTATATTAATGTAAAATGAGACATTTAATGTAAAAGTCAAACCTGGTGAGCTTCAACCAGGTCCAAATAGGTAAGATTCTACATTTGTAAAAGAGAAGACAATAATACGTTATTGCATGTTACAAGTACATACTGGTATGCAAATATTTGTTTGTTTGTAGTTTCTGTGGAAGTATACCCTCTATTATTATCATCTAAAGTCTTCTTTAGTATGAATCTAATTCTCAGGTAAATTCAAATTACACAAAAACTAAAACAATATTTAAGAAGTAGTCCATTCTTGGGTCTGGATACAAAGGATATAAATAATTTAGAATTTTTATCTGGAGAATGATCTCTTGGTTGCCTTACCTTCCAAAACACTACCAATTTCTGGAGCAAACACGTAAAACTCAGCACTAACAGTGATATGGTTAAATGGATTAGTGTCGAACAGCCAACCATGAGATAATACGCGCTGCACATTTTCGTATGCCACGGCTATTCCTCCAAGTCTGAAAAATTTATGTGGATGCATTTATCTCAAGAATTAAAAATCTGTCACACTCATGACTATTAAGTGCAGCCATGAGTTCTAAATAAGCAATATAGTACTATCATTCTAAAATACACTACTAACATTTTAAATTTAACAAGGTATTATACTTCCTAATGTTATATAAGAATTAATTAAATAGGATTCTGCCAGGAAAGGCTGTAATGATGGTACGCTACTTTTCCAAACATAAGGGAAGACTAAACAGAAGAATGAATGGGGACTTGAACTGTGGTCTTGACAGGTAGCAGGTCTAGTGCTGTACCATGGTTTGAATCCCTGTGCATTCTTTAGTATATTCACTGAGAGTCATTTGTTATGACTTAAACTGAGTTCATATGGACAGATGTCAAGAATTATTATTATTATTATAATCAAAAAGAAGCGCTAAGCCACAAGGACTATACAGCAGATGTCAAGAAGATGGCAATTATACTGTGTCCAAGCAAAAAATATAAGTGTCTGAAAAAAACATAAATAAGAATGCAGAGTTTATAAGATATATTCTGAAGTTGAAAAATACAGTATTTTAACAATACTTTCTACCTTAGGACAAGATATTAAATGAATGAATATATGCATATATATGAATGAATATATTTGCATATCTGTATATTTATGTATGAATGAATGTTGGTACATACAAAGATATACATACATAGACATACATACGGTGGCCCTATTGCATGGTGGCTAAAGCTCTCGCTTCGTACAGTGAGTGTCCCGGTTTGATTCCAAGACGTGTTTCCTTACACCAGTTGTCTATTTCTACCCATCAATAAAATGGGTACCTGGGTGTTAGCCGACAGGTGTGGGTCGCATCCTGGGACAAAACTGACCTAATTTGCCCAAAATGCTCAGCATAACAAGCGGCTTTCTATATAGTAGTATGTCATTGATGTCAGACAGGACTGTATACCTTGTTCATGTACTTGTAGAAGTAAAGATATTATTATTTTATATACACATACATACATAATTATTATTTTCTGTCTCTGTCGTAGACTGATATAATAAAGAACCATCACAGCTGAATACTTAATGACACTAATACTCTTATTTGGCTATGTATAGCAATGCAAGCAACCATATGACCTGTCTTTGTAATACTCATTTGTGCTTTATAGTTATCTGTTTACAATAATGTCTTATCACTGATTTCATCATTGCTTAGTTAATCTTAAGTTAATTTTAAGCCAGCCCGTAATGCTATGCATATAAGTGGCTTTGGCATGCTGCTCTTACCAGTATTTTTTTGTACCTCTGTATGTATGCTAAAATTACTAAATAAATAAAAAAATAAATAAATGACAGAATCTGCCACTAAGATGTAACGTGGAATGTGGCTACAGTAACTTGATCCAACATTTCCAGCTTCTTAATAAATGTAATTTCACAGCACAAGACCCTGGTGATACTTACACCTTAGAGTAACGTTTAAATAAGGCGTTCAGCTCTATGAATACACCTTTCTTCCACTCCACGGAATACATAGGGTGGACGAGCACTGTTATCTGTTTCTTCATCTTCTTAATACACGACCTAGGCAAGTCTGCGATCTTCTTGGCTAATTCTGTGTTACCTTGGAGTTCCATTTTGTCGTTTTTGACAATTTAGAAATAAAATTCAACTGTTTTTCTTAAACAGTTATTGCGCATCATGGCAGCTGGAGCCGAGGCAATGTTTACACTTATAACTTGTCCACATGTGAAGAACATCTAATTTCAATGTTCAGTGATATAACACAATACGAATTTATTATTTGTAATTTAATACATTTAGAAGTACACATTTTATATATTTTTTTAAATTTTGTAGATAATACTTATTTTCCAGGGGAAAGCCCTGGAAAAAAAATCAGGAAATTTCACTTGTTTTTACTAACATTACCCCAAAAATATAATTTCACTATGAATATGCTAAAAACTCATACATTCAAAATGTTTCTACAATGAAGGTGAAGTGCGAATGGGAATTTTTTTTTTCATATAATTCTGATGTGGTTCGGTCATATGGAGTTTATAAATGTGTAGTGGAAGGAAGGCGGGGTAGGGGTGGGCCTTGGATAAGTTAGTGGGAGGGGGTAAAGGAGGTTTTGTGTGCGAGGGGCTTGGACTTCCAGCAAGCATGCGTCGGAATATTTGATAGGAGTGAATGGAGACAGATGGTTTTTAGGACTTGACGTGGTGTTGGAGTGTGAGCAAAGTAACATTTATGAAGGGATTCAGGGAAACCTGCAGACCGGACTTGAGTCCTGGAGATGGGAAGTACAGTGTCTGTACTCTGAAGGAAGGGTGTTAATGTTGTCGTTTTATAACTGTAGTGTAAGCGCACCTCTGGCAAGACAGTGATGGAGTGAATGATGATGAAAGTTTTCTTTTTTTGGGCCACCCTGCCTTGGTGGGAAGCTGCCGATGTGATTTCGAAAATTTTCTGAACTAGCCACTGAGGATGGTGAAGCTGAACACTACAATCAACTTGAATTTGCTGATTACTTATATATATTTATTTATTTTTTATTATCACACTGGCCGATTCCCACCAAGGCAGGGTGGCCCGAAAAAGAAAAACTTTCACCATCATTCACTCCATCACTGTCTTGCCAGAAGGGTGCTTTACACTACAGTTTTTAAACTGCAACATTAACACCCCTCCTTCAGAGTGCAGGCACTGTACTTCCCATCTCCAGGACTCAAGTCCGGCCTGCCGGTTTCCCTGAACCCCTTCATAAATGTTACTTTGCTCACACTCCAACAGCACATCAAGTATTAAAAACCATTTGTCTCCATTCACTCCTATCAAACACGCTCACGCATGCCTGCTGGAAGTCCAAGCCCCTCGCACACAAAACCTCCTTTACCCCCTCCCTCCAACCTTTCTTAGGTCGACCCCTACCCCGCCTTCCTTCCACTACAGACTGATACACTCTTGAAGTCATTCTGTTTCGCTCCATTCTCTCTACATGTCCGAACCACCTCAACAACCCTTCCTCAGCCCTCTGGACAACAGTTTTGGTAATCCCGCACCTCCTCCTAACTTCCAAACTACGAATTCTCTGTATTATATTCACACCACACATTGCTCTCAGACATGACATCTCCACTGCCTCCAGCCTTCTCCTCGCTGCAACATTCATCATATATATATATATATATATATATATATATATATATATATATATATATATATATATATATATATATATATATATATATATATATATATATAATCATATATATATACATATATATATATAATATATATATATATATATATATATATATATATATATATATATATATATATATATATATATATATATATATATATATATATATATGTATATATACATATAAACAGATGCACTACACTATTTATTTATTTATTTATTTATTTATTTATTAATTTGAACATGATACAGAGAAGTACAAGGAATACAATTTTTATAGTGCAGCATGCCAAAAGCACCTTGTATGCAGAGCATTATGGGCAGGCTTAAAATTAACTTAAGATTAACTAAGCAATGATATATTCAGTGGTACAAAAATTATTGTAAAACAGATAACAATTTAGTACAAATGAGTATTACAAAGACAGGTTAAGGTCATTTACTGTGTTGTTGTGTAATCAGTAGAACGGAGTATTATGTTGGATAATGAAGTTAAATAGTAACAAAGTTTGATTGGGTCACAGGTTGACATTTATGAGATACAATAATGAGATACATACATGAGATACAATTATTCAGTATTTATTTAGTTGTGGGTGAGTAAGTGATTTTTGAGAAGAGACTTGAATTTATAAACATATAGTGTTTCTTTATATCCACAGGTAATGAATTCCAGATTTTATGGCCTTTTATGTGCATTGAGTTTTTGCATAGCGTGAGATGGACACGATGAACATCAAAGAGTGATATGTTTACCTGGAGTTTACCTGGAGAGAGTTCCGGGGGTCAACGCCCCCGCGGACCGGTCTGTGACCAGGCCTCCTGGTGGATCAGAGCCTGATCAACCAGGCTGTTACTGCTGGCTGCACGCAAACCAACGTACGAGCCACAGCCCGGCTGGTCAGGAACCGACTTTAGGTGCTTGTCCAGTGCCAGCTTGAAGACTGCCAGGGGTCTGTTGGTAATCCTCCTTATGTATGCTGGGAGGTAGTTGAACAGTCTCGGGCCCCTGACACTTATTGTATGGTCTCTTAACGTGCTAGTGACACCCCTGCTTTTCATTGGGGGGATGTTGCATCGTCTGCCAAGTCTTTTGCTTTCGTAGTGAATGATTTTCGTGTGCAAGTTCGGTACTAGTCCTTCTAGGATTTTCCAGGTGTATATAATCATGTATCTCTCCCGCCTGCGTTCCAGGGAATACAGGTTTATTCCCTGGAACGTGTTATGGTCATGTGTTCTGTTGAGGTTGGTAAGGAGATGTTTGAGGGGAGGGTTTATATCAGAGTTAAGTGTTCTATGAATGTAGTAGGTGCAGTAATAAGTATGGATGTTTTGTATTGTGAGTAGGTTTAGAGTTTTGAATATTGGTGGAGTGTGCTGTTTGTAGTGGGAATTTGTTATCATTCTGACTGCAGCCTTTTGTTGGGTGATTAGTGGTCTGAGATGGTTTATTGTTGTTGAGCCCCATGCACAAATTCCATAGGTGAGACGGATAAATAAGTGAGTGATATAGGGCCAGGAGGGCTGACTCTGGAATATAGTACCGTATCTTCGATAGTATGCCTACGGTCTTGGAATTTTTGGGGGAAATTTGCTGTATATGTGTTTGAAATTTGAGTCTATTATCAAGGTGGATTCCTAGGAATTTTACCTCTGTGAGTTTTGTGACAGGTGATCCATTTATCATTATGTTAAGAGACACATCTGCAGCTCTGTTACCAAACTGAATGTAGTAGGTTTTGTCAATGTTTAGAGTAAGTTTGTTGGTCCACATCCAGGTTGATATTTTCTGTAATTCGGTATTCACAGTATTGGCTAGCGTGACTGGGCTCGGGTGAGAGAAGACGTATGAAGTGTCATCTGCAAATAGTGTGGGTTTGAGTAGTTGCGATGCATTTGGTTGGTCATTTATGTATATGAAAAAGAGAAGAGGGCCTAGGACACTTTCCTGTGGGACACCAACTGTAATTGGCTGTGTGGAAGAGTTTGCCCCATTTGTGTACACATATTGGCTTCTGTTGCTGAGGTATGACTAGGTAGTTGAGGGAGTGCCCTCTTATGTGGAGTAAGTCGTTGTCAACTGTATCGAAAGCTTTACGTAAGTCAATGAAGATCTCCATTATTATTATTATTATAATCAAAAAGAAGCGCTAAGCCACAAGGGCTATACAGCGCTGCACTACGCTATATAGCCCATCTGATTTATGAGTCAGGGCCATACTCCATCAGTGGGTCCCACGTGGGTATTCGGGAAAAATTATTATTATTACATTTATGAGAGGAAATGATAAGTGTCTGGGAAAGTAGGAGGCATTCAAGTTCGATCCAAGAGAGGGTAGATCAAGTCCAGTTTCTCGAATCAATGGCATTTTTTTTTTCTTGTTGAGGGTTCATAGGGGCCAGTGACTGCTCAAGTGCATGGCGCCTTGCCTCCCGGTGCCCAAAATATATTTGCTTTCAGTGGATTTCTTTTGTGCCTAACAATGTTTTATTATCTGTAAACTACATCATCTTTGTACAACATAAAAGAATTAATATTCTGAGTTGGAATTATCATCAATTATTATTGTCATGATTGTCTTCTTTCTTTCATTCTCTGTTGGGTTTATCAGGGCCACTGACAGAATAAGCTGTATCGAGCCCGACTTCTTGATGGTACGAGGAAGATTTGTTGCCCAAGGCTGGGCGATGAAAGAAAAGGAAAAAAAATTCCTTTGTAAATAGAGATAAAAACTTGAAGTTTCCAATTAGATCCCGTGGACCCCCTTGCCAAGCCCCAACAGAGCGGGAAGTCTACGCTCTCACCTGAGTTCAGTAACCGGCTTCCCACCAAAGACCGTTAAAGAATTTTCCGCAGGGCGGAAAAAAAAATGAAGCTGGCTAAAGCAAGCCGATGTACAGGTGCCCCTCCTTTAGAGTGCCCGGTGGGCAAAATAGATGAGGACAAGCGTCCCAGTGAGAACGGGGGAAATTTGTCACTGATACTCAGGCGAGAGAGAGACGTCCACACCCGACGAAGGCTGGCGCAGAAGTCATGATTGTCATCATTATTAACGCCATCATCATCATCAATCTAATATTATCACCATTAGTCATAATCATCATTATTGTCATCACTGTTACCTGGTAAGCAACACTGGCTTTACACACTGAGGTCCGGGGGTCGATGCCCCGGTAAGGATGGAAACATTAGGAAGTGTTTCCTTAAGACACCTGCTGTCCATGTTCACCTAGCAGTAAAATAGGTACCTGGGTGTTAGTCGACTGGTGTGGGTCGCATCCTGGGGCAAAATTGATCCAATTTGCCCGAAATGCCTTACATAACAAGCGGCTTTCTACATAGTAGTATGTCACTGATGTCAGCTAGGCCTGTATACTTTGTATATGTACTTATATAAAAATATAATATCTTTATTTACTACAAGTACATGTACAAGGTATACAGGCCTAGTTGACATCAATGACATACTACTATATAGAAAACCACTTGTTATGCAGAGCATTTCGGGCAAA